TCAAGGGTTGCCCTATGCATGCTGTCTCAAGTTTCGTTCTCCATAGATGTTTGCATGCTGTCTCGCTGCTTTGTGTTTTGTTGATTGAGCTATGTCGCACACAGAAACTTCGCTGATCGATCTTTCTCGCACACGCAAGCTGTGTCGCTTTCCCCGTTCGAGAAACTGCGAAAGCCACTTGATGCAAGATCTTACTAAGTTTCGGACCTGTGGATAGTACGAGGGCCTGCTATTGACCACTGTTCATGCATCAGCTCGCTTTCGCTTCCTCTTGTCTGCTGGCTTGAGTGCACGACTAAGCCAAACCCACGTGAAAAAGTAAGCCTGGGCCATGCTTCGCTGCCTTGCCGGCATGGTTTTCACAAGAGTGATACGTTCATTCAGCTGCTCCCGGTCCAATTCTGGATTGTAGCTCGCACTGATGCTGTTCCTTAGTTGATGTGCTGTTTTATCGGAATCGGCATAAAAGAGCACCACACCACTTTCAATCTGCAGCTTTGTCTCTGTCCCTCGAAGATCTTCGCGTTGTGTAGCTTTGCTTGAAAAAGCGGCAGCGACGAATCCCGAAACTGAGTATGGTGTACACAGCCGCCCTCAGGAATCGGAAATTTCTCCAAGAGCCATCGCGGAACTGTCTCTGTCTTGCTGAGCATAGCTTTCGAGGCCCGTGTGTTTTCCACTGGCTGGGAAGCTGCAGTCTGATCCTGATTTGCTGCACAACGGACTACTGGGAAGAATTGCACACCTTTACCGAAAAAAACGATTTTAGTCATGTTGCTACTCTTTTCCTGCGGTTTTACTTTGTTGTATTCAACTACAGGATCCTAACGATTACAGAACTGAACAGTGCCGTGCCTCGGTTGCATCCTTCTTCTCTTCCTCCTTGGCTTCCTCCATTTCTTCCTCAGCATCCAGCTCTTCGAGCAGCTGGCAGCAAGCAGCCACAGCAGGGTCGTCGTCGTCGGCGCGTTCCTCATAAACAAACACAAAAGAGAGAGTTTCCTGATGGCTTGTTGATTCAGACATACACCTAGGAATTCTATGCTATGCCATAACACGAAAAACTACTCTTGAGTCCAGTTTCATGTGTTGTAGCATCTTCGGCTTCGGGCTCTTTCTCCTTCTTCTTTGATGCACGACTCTTTTCGATCTCGAGCATTTTCTGCTCCAGCCCCTCCAGCCCATCCTCGCCCAACGTTGTTTTGACATCGTCCAATGTCATCAACTTTCTGATCTTTGCATGCTTGCTGCTGTTCTTTGGCATACGGAGCTCGTAGGCGGTGAGGATTTCGGACAAAGCGGCTGAGGTGATGTTCATGATGCTCTGGGAGACGAA